ACTCTGGGTCTGATGGGGTTGCTGGGGTTCAGTCTGAATTGGGGTGCTTGGACTCAGGGGTCCGAGGGAGGTGGGGCTGAGAGCCTGGTTTTAGGGTTCTGTGGGAGAGGACCTAGTGGCCTGGATTCCTGGGGTCCAGGGCAGGAGAGGCCAGGGGCCTGGACTCTGGGGTTCCTGGGGAGGAGGGGCTGGGAGTCTAGAATTAGGAGCCCGGGGGGAAGAGGAATCTGGGGGGGCCTGGACTCTGCGGTCCGACGGACGAGGGGCGGGAGCCTGGACTCGGGAGTTCAGAGAGAAGAGGGGCAGGGGTGGCCTGGACTCTGGGGTCCGAGGGAAGAGGGACGGAAGCCTGGACTCGGGGTTCAGGGAGAAGAGGTACCCGTGGCCTGAACTCTCTCGTTCCTGGGGAGAAGGGTCTGGGGGTCTAGAATTAAGGGCCCGGGGAAGAGGAATCTGAGGGTCTGGACTTTGGGGTCCAAGGGAAGAGGAGGGGCAGGGTGCCTGGACTCTGGGGGGTTCGGGGAGAAGAGGGACAGGGGGTCTGGACTCTGAGGGGTTCGGGGAGAAGAGGGGCTGGAGGCCTGGACTCTGGGGTCCGGGGGAGGAGGGCGCTGGCTCTATCGGAGGGAGGAGGGTCTGGGGAAGGAGGCGGGCCGATCTCGGTGACATGAAGCTCAGCCTATCCAGTTTCTGTAACTAATTAACCGAGACAGCTCAATTTAAGGGGTGAAAGTTCACGGAGGCAGAGAGGCTCTTTCTTGCTAAGGAACAGTCTGACCCCCTTGGGCCAGTCTCCCCCGACCCGCCGCCGCGGGTCCCCGGGAGGAAGGGGCGGTCGGGGCCGAGGTGACCCACCTCCCTCCGCCAGGTGTCCGGCTCAGGATGGGGGTCCCCCGGCCGTGGGGGCTCGGTGTACTGCTGCTCCTCCTGCCCGGGACGCTGGGTGCAGGTGAGGGGCCTCCGGGAGGGCGCGGGGAGCGGTGTCCCCGAAAATCTGGGTTTTCACTTCCTTCTCTTGTCACATTGTTTATCGCGCTGTGCGCCCGCGGCCTCCGGGACAGGGAGCCACCGCGCTGCCCGCTCTCTGGGTCTCTGTCCACCCCCCTTCTGGGTGTCTGTAACTTCTCGCCAAGTCTCTGTCCTCTTCTCTCTCCAGGATTCCCTCTCCCCGTCTGTGCCCCAGCTTTCTAGGGCTGCAGAAAATATGCAGGACGCCCACACAAATGTGATATCGCATGGGTCGTACTCCTTGCAAAATAAGGATTCATTGTTTATCTGTACTTTGCAGTTAATCGGTGAATTGTTTCTGCTCTCTTCCCAATCTGGGTCTGTCCACCCAGACTCTGGGTCTCTGTCCTCGCTCTTTTTCTCTCTGGGTCTCTGTCCCTCTCTCCCTGGGTTTCTGTCCCCCTCTCAGAATCTTTGTCCCCCTCTCTCTGGGTCTCTGTCCCCCCCTCTCTCTGGGTCTCTGTCTCCCCCTCCCTCTGGGTCTCTGTCCCCCTCTCTCTCTGGGTCTCTGTCCCCCTCTCTTGGTCTCTCACTCTGGATTCTATATCGCTCTTTCTTTGGGCCTCTGTCCCCTTCTTTCTCTGAGTCTGTCCCTCTCTCTCTAGGCCTCTGTCCCCCTCTGTCCTGGGCCTCTGTCCCTCTCTCACTCTGGATTCTCTCTCTTTCTCTGAGTCCCTGTCCCCCTTTCTCACTGGGTCCCTGTCCCCATCTCTCTGGGTTCTCTGTCCCCATCTCCTTGGGTGTCTGTCCTCATATCTCTGGGTGTCTTTCTCTCTAGGTCTTTATCTCTTTTACTCCGGATCTCGGTCCCCCCCTCTCTCTGGGTCTCTGT